AAAGTCATGATGTCAAATTACAATTTGAGTTATTTTAATCATTTTCTATAGGTCGTCACTGTTCTTACCCGATATGTCATTAATTAGATTAAAATAAAGGAGTTAAAGAATTTAACTAAAAAAAAAAATATTAAATTGATCTCGAATGTATTGTAGTTTATTATTTATTAAGGACGTTCTCCAAAAAAAATTTTTTTTTAGATTTTTCTGAAGCTTACAGAATAAACTTGTTTAGTATTTTGAACATATATAATATTATATATATATATATATTATTCATTGTAAAAAAATTTTTCTTAACAATTTTATGAAACAATGAGAATAAAACTTGATATCATAAGGAATAATGAAATTTGTCTGAAAATGGCTTCCGATATTCGTTTCTAAGAAATCATTGAGCAAAGTAAGTAGCAAAGTAAGTAAAGCTATTTTTTTACCTGACGGCAGTAGCGAAGGCGGGAGGCCTTTTATATAAAAAAACTTGTATAAACACATTAACATTTATGAAATATCTTATACTATATAAAAGTGAAATAAATTTTCATAAAAATTTTCATAATGGTGAGATGTGCTCGTTAGGTTGAGCACAATTGCAGTCGGAGAACGTTCTTAAATGCATACGTTAATATGGACGATGTTTATTTTGAAACTAATCATTGAAATGGATTAATTTACATTTTAACTTATCTCACATAATTACAAAAAAAGTTAAAAATAACAAAATGTTGTTTAATTTAAGGATTACCATTATTCGTTTCACATCTAATAGTAAAGGCTTAGCGATCAAAGGATTGTAGAAAAAAATCTATTGTAATAAGCGATTATTTCTGACAGCGTGAGATTCAACTCTTTAATTTTATCTTCAGAGAAAAGAACAAAGATTTAACACACACGCACACTATCTACAATTAATTTTTAATTAATTTTATGAGAATGGATAGGATCAAACGTTTGAAAACGTATCTTTATCATCAGCAACGCTTAAGTATAGGTCTTGAAAATCGGAATTCTCTTTATAGTTATCAATAACTTTGATATATTAATTCGCATGATCACGCAAAGAGTCTATGGATCGAGTTAAAATTATCTTTTGCTTTATATCATAATACTATTTTTTATGCGAACAAATGAGAACATATAGAAATATTTAAACGCGTCTTTATCATTAGCAATATTTATTTGTTTTACAAATCAAAATTCTCTTCTTTAAGCATATTTATAACTTCGATATTACATTCGCGTGATCACGCAAAAATGCATATGTATATCGAGATAAAATTAACTTGTATCTTTATGGATCACAATACTGGAGTAAAAAGAACTATTTTATATTTGTACACTAAAGCTATATATGTGGACCTAGTTTACAATAATAGAGATGAGAAGTTATTACCCCACATACCTAGGTGTATGAAGGGTTAAGATATGCGGAGGTTGACCGCCCTCGCCTTCCGCAATTACCGTATTTACTGTTTTGAGAAAAACGTAAATCTCACTGATTATACAGTACATCCTTAGAGAGCTACGTTTCACTTGCGGATCTTGTAAGCAATTTGCATTAATTTTTCGCTCGACCAGAATTACAAATTCTGTTCAAATTCGACAAGCAACGCTATTTAACAATCTATTTAAGATTTCGGTGTTCATATCTCTGTTAGATATCAAACAAACAATGGTAATCCAATTTTTTTAATTAAATAACATTTTTGTTCTTTTTAACTCCAATGTACGTCAAAATGTAAATCAACCCATTTCTGTGGTTGGTTTCATAGTAAACGTCATTCATTTGCATATACATTTGATAAAGAATAAACCAAATTTGAATCAAATTTTATACACAATTTAATACATTTTCTTGAATTACATTTGTTTAACTCCAGCGTTGACTACTCACCTGTACTTTATTATCATATTTCTAAATTGTTCAATTAAAAGAGTCTATGAAAAACTTATTAGTTTTGTGTTAGTTTGTAATTTCCATTATTTTAATTAAATTAACGACATATCGGGTAGAAGCAGTGACGACCTATGGAAATGATTGAAAATACCTCAAATTATGAATATATAATTTGCATCATGAATTTAACATTATGAATTTAAGTTTTCTTATGAAAGTCTTGCACCTTTGATCAAAGCTCGACAAGTATAGGCTCTTTCGAGTAGGAAAAACCTACTCGAGAGATAAATCAAAGAAAAAGATGAAAGATGACTTTGTAGATTCGAGGAACGCACCCTGTGTGTTTTGAATATCGACGAATGCGTTAAGCGCGTAGTGGTAGCCGCAAAAACATCAAGCCCAGCAGTGTCCATGGTCGTAAACCATCGACGGATGTGTCGAATGAATCCTCCTGGTCAACAGTTTATGGTACGTTCGCAGCAATTGACCTACATTGTATTGTGTACCGCAGGAAAGGTCGGTATTCCGGGACCAAATTATCTGGACACTGACGACTCACGTCAGTGAGCGTGAGGGTGACTTAATTAGCCAATTACTGCCGTGCGTTAAATTAGAACAGCGCACAGTCGGTGGTCTTAAACCGGGGGTGAGAAGAGGAGGAAGAGAGACAGAAAAGGATCCAAATATATCGGCTTGGATGAGTTTCGCTACTCGGGGGGGGCGAAACCGTACCGGAGAATCCATTCGAATCCAGGACAAGGCGATTGAAACGTCAGCTTTATCCTTGAACGGCGCAAAAGGATTCCAGCTCTCTGGCGGAATCAATTCGCCGCCGCCGCCGCCCTTTCTACAGTTGTCCGCGTTCTCACCTAAACTCGCCTATTGACAGATCCTATTGAGCGTGTAGCAGAATCAACGAGGTCGAGAGTGCGAAGATGACTGCGACGTAGATACGTTACATTTAAAATATTTTTGTCCTAGCTATGCTGTCCTTGCTCCACATATACGGCTCGCTATCCTCCTAAGGCTCACGGTGGGGGATATTTTTCTCTTCAATGAGAGAATGCTGAACGGAAATTACTGCGATTATCACGTGCTAAATAAAATTGTGTATCGCGGTTGAATTTACACATCCCACGCAGGTGTGTTATTACGCAGACTTCCGGTAATTTTTTAATAAAGTATAGCATATATTTTATAAATAGCAAATATAAAACATAATATCGAAACGATATGTCAAAAGGCTCAATAAAATTAAATAATAATATGAAAGGGGGCTACAAGCCTAATATAAAAATGTTTTTAAGAATATAAATAGTTAAATCATAAACAAAAACAATGGTCTATAACAAACGTTTCGTACCCAATCGGATCATTTTCAATGTTAACAAATTCGGTTATGAACTTACAATATAAAAAAATTAAAAGATACATAAATTAAAAGGTCTGTAGTATTTTAAAAAATTAATAATTTCTCTAAACTCTAAGTTATCGCAATATATAAACGTTGTGTTGGTCCTTATAGTATTTGGTAAATAATAATATATAATTTTCATACGCATCCAATACTTCCAAATGAGTCATTAAACTTAAACAAAATTTGCATTGAACGATATTCTGTTAAAAATAGTATTATAACTTATTAACAATTAAATTCACGTGTAAATGTTAATAAGATTCGTAAATTGTATTATGTTAAAACTTAAAAAATCAATCAATGTATTATAATCTATTAACAAATAAATTAACGTAAATGTCAATAATATAATATGAATAATAAATTGATTAATAAAACAGCAGAAAAAGTAGTCATTTTAAAACATAATATACTATAAATAACATATACAATATATTATAATATTTTGTAAATAATATATATTTACATACAATATATATATATATACACATATATATATAGAGTGATTTTTAAGTAGTCTAGCTTTTGATTGAAAAAAAAATAACGTATGACGCCAAAAATTAAGACTTCGTATCTTTGAAACACAGAAAATTTCATAAAAAGATTTCGAGGTTTTCAAAATTTTTGGAGAAACAAAACTTTTCTTTTAACTTTGACCCTGTATTTTTAAAATCAATTGTAAATCGTTTTTGAACAGATGGATATGTAAAGTTTATGTCTTAAAATGCGCGAACAACACCTTTAAAATCTTTTAGATTATACTAATATTTAAGAACTATCCTGTATTATAATATTTTTTCCTTAAGAACGGTATTGCATATTTGTGCTTTTGCAGATAAAATCATCGAACATATTATTGCGAGGTGATAAAGTAATTGTTAGACTATTTAAACATATAATTACAGTTGAGTACAAAGCATTAATAGCATTTTAAAACGCGCGATAGATCTTTCGGATCACTCGCGCGTAGTCTTTTGTGAAATGAAGTGCTCGCTATTTCCGCCTGGAACTTTCTGATTATTTGCCACGCGTAATAAAACACTAGTCTAGCATATCCGACAGCTGGGCGTAGAAAAGCAGGATGCGTCCATCGTCTAGTTCCGCGTAATTTCTGCGGGCAACCAATGGTTCGCCGTGTACGCGAGCACCGCGTGCGGGCGGCTAAATGCCAGTAATTGTTTGTTATTTCATCGTGTGTTCCGCAAATGGATTATACGAATTACACGCTCCGAAAGAAGAGACGACGCAGCGTTCCATTTTCCAAAAGAAAATCGCATTTTTCTTCCGGGACTTTCCGTCACATCGACAGTCGTTAGCGCGACAAAAGGAATTGAGAATGATCGTCGGCGGAAAGATATTTTTCTTTCTTTCACCGTCTCTCTCTATCTTTCTCTCTTTCTCTCGACGACAATAACGTTTGAATGAAACGTCTCGCATGTACAGCGAGACTTCTCGTCTATCAATTTATTGAATGAGAAGAGATACACGTGGATGTTCGTAATGACCTTCACGCTTCAGGAAAATGCACATGACGTAAAATGTATCGGTCTTTCTGTCACAGATTTCCGGTTTTGTCTGGGCCAATATCGAGCCGGCCGGTTGGCCGGCCGACTGATCGACCGACCGACCATGTAACCAACAACTTCGCTACTTATACAGTTCCAACCGTCGCTCGTTCGTCGTTGGCACAGTTACCTTTCCGGTTCTACCTCACAATGTAATTCAAGCGTCGAAATCAATGAGATTTGAAACGAGGAGCGTGGAACCGGGCGCTTTAGCGAAACAGAGGTAAGGCTCAAACATGAATAAACAGATTTCTACATGGAAAGGATGGGTTTGGTGAAAGCTCTACAAATTTAGTTAGAGATGCAGGTAATTTTATTTTCACTTGGCAAAAACAGTTTTGCTAAAGTATTTAAAAATTCAACTGGATACACACAGATTTGAAAAAAAATAATTTTGTTAGATTATCAAAATAATTGTGTAGAATGCTTAGGTCGCTACAATGTCAAATTTTTGTTCAATATCGCTCATTATTTATCAATTAGAGATGAAAGTAATTTTATTTGCCATACCATCAAAATATTACTGAGATAAATGTTTTGTATAATATTTAAAAATTTTGTTCTAATCAAAATTTGATTAGAAAAAAAATAACCATAAAGTAAAAATAATTTTTTAATTAAAAAATAAGAAAGTTTTTGTAAGTCATATATCATACAAAACATTTCTTTCAATAATTACGTAGGAATCTCAAACATGTTAAACGATGCTGCAAAAAGTTTTTACATTCTACTCAGTTTGAACAGTTCTACATAGTTATTTTCATAGTCTAACAAATATTTCAAATCTGTATCTATATAAATTTTTAGACGCTTCAACAAAACCATCCATTTCGTACACATATTACACTACACTACTAACAGCAGTTTTCATAAGTGAACCATATTTAGTATGCACGGAAAGAACGATTTCGCTGAACCATCAAAATAATTATGTAGAACACTCAAGCATAATGAGCAATGTTGGAAAAAATTTGACATTCTAACAACCACCTTAAGCGCTCTACATATTTTGATGATCTAACAAAATTATTTTTAAATCTGTGTGTATATATCTAACTGAATCTTTAAATACTTCAGCAAACCCGTGTTTTCCATATAGAATAAAAATCAAGTACAAAGAGTAAAATGTCAACGTATGCAACAAGTATTATCAAGTATGCAACATGAGATATTTTAAAATCAACAACATTATCTTTTATTTATTAATTAAAATGACATTTTCTTATTGTATACTGAATGTTATCCTGTAATAAATACTAACAGCATGTTTATCGTGATCACTAGGTGTTAGCAGTGAATATAATATTTAGAAAGCCATAGATCAAAAGAAGAAAAATTATTGCTAACATGAATGCACGAAAATGATCCCTTCCGTTCGCAATGAGTTCATGGAAATTTTTTAAATGACATTACGTCGAGTCACAGCTGTCACGAGCTTCATCAAAATATGGCCTGAGTCAATATAGAGATTAAAAATTTTATCGCGTGCACAGAAAGATTAATCAACCATAGTTTAATTAATCCTCGCTACGAGGGATGTATTCACACCCCAAGCGACCCTTTGAGCGCACTCCGCTAACCTTTACCAGCCACGTAAACGCGAAGGTTAAAGATATCTCTCTTATACGTCATACTATATATAATGACGTCAGTGTAACCTTATGTTTTTATAGTCCAGTTTTACGACACGTGTCACACGAAGCATCTCGTTTGCAGCATCTCGTTACGTAAAAGCGCATAGGACCCTTGCGTCATTCTGTACTTATTATCTTTTTTTACTGGCATCATCAACGAGAGTTTCATTCAGTTTGTGCATATCAGAAAAATTATGTCAAAACCTATCTCGCGTCCAAAGAAAACCATTAGTAAACAGGGACTCCCTTGCAAATCTTGAAATAAGAACTTCTAATTTGAACGAAATAAGTTACTTTTCACAAATAATGTGGCTTAGTGGTGAACAAAAGAATGTCATAGGTACAAGGTTCAATAATTAACAACTTTTGACTATAGTGTATTAAAAGTATATAATTTGTATTTGCAGAGAGCACCTTTGATTAGGGTGACCTTAAAAAAGCAAAGAGAGACATTTTTAAAAATTCATTATTAATTGTCGTAATTAAATTTTAGATGTACATTTTTTAATAATTACCAATAATTAACGCATTAACCGATTTTAATAATTAACGAAACAATATCATATTATTTGTAAATAATTAATAACAGTTAATATATGTATATAACATCACATGAGATCACAATAAAAATTATGTCAATAAAAGTAACGAGATTATATTTTATTTTTTTTAATTGTATTTTTCTACTGATATATTTTATGAATGTAATATCAGGGTTTTTAAATAAAAAATCATAAAATTCTTCACATATTAGTTTAAAATTGTATTTTACATTTATTATTCTTATAACTTAAAAAAAGAGGCAATTTATAATCATGACCTTAATTTGAGGCAAAAAGGACGGTTAATCATAATAATCACTAAGCCTTTTGATACATCACAGCTAAAAAATTATTCATTAGCTTTGTGCTTATGACATCTTCTATTCATCATAAGCTATGTTATATGTGAAAACTAGTATCGAAAATTCGGTCACTTAAATGATGAATTGATTTACATTAACACTAAAGTATAGTACATACTAAAAGCTGCTATGAAATTAGCAGAATTAAAAGTAAAATGTATAAATATTTTAAACGCTTAAATACCCAATAATAATATCACATTATTTAATAGAATATACATTATTATTTCATTGTGTAAAATTGATTATGTTATGCCATTGTATTTAAATATTTTGTATGAAACAGCCTTTAATGTACATTACACCAATGTAGTGCGAGTAAGTGAATTCATCATAATTCATTTCATCAGGACTCAATTTTCCATATAATTAATGCGAGGCTCTTTATTGGGCGACTTTTCATATCGGTTTAATTATCGCGTTTGATTACCTACGCATTTTCCATTATTATTACTCGTTATTGTTAACACGCGTGTGCACCAGCGTTACGCTTTACAAGAATAAAAATAAATCCGCTAACATCCGCGAAACGCAATCTTGCTAATTGACTTTCGCCATTACTTCTAATATTCCGGACAGTACGCCATTTCCTGTTTCTCGCATGTTTATTCTGAATGATAAATTAGGAGAGAAAGAAAGAGAGAGGAGAGATTTCGTTCCTGTTTATATGTACACACAATTCCGCGGCGATACCGCAGATCGATATACACCACTTTCTCTGACTCCTCGACAGTGCGCTATTTCCATTTCGCTTTTGACATTGAATTCAAGCTAACGCGTTCCCCGAGGAAACAATAGATGAAGCCGCTCTATAGGAGCGAGCGGTGTCGACAAAGCCTAGATACAAGGTCCAAAAAGGAATAATAAAATCAATCAGAACTGCCAACTGTAACGCCTGCCTCTCGCAGATATCAGTGATAAATTCATTTCAACTTGAAAAGTAAATTTGAACGAGATAAATTTGAATTTAGCGTGACTTCTGTAAATACATATAATTTAGTTGCGCTTCGTGAATCTCTCTCTCCTAGCTCTTATGTCCATTTCTACCAATACAAATTAGGTTTAATCTCGATTTAACTTACTCTTTATCTTCTATCTAGTTCTAAGAATTAAAAAAAAAAGAATAAATTAAAGCGATTAAAGCTACCTATATTTCTAAAAATAGACGTAAGATAACAGGGCAGAGATTTGGAACTAAATTATAGAAGTCATTCTAGATTTAAATTCTTTTTCTAGTTTTAAGAATTAAAAAAATGATAAAGAATAAGTTAAACCGGGATTACAGCTAATCTATATTGATAGAAATAGACACGGGAAAAAGATTCATGAATAGCAACTAAATTATATTTACAGAAGTTACACGGCGATTTAAATTTCTTTTTCTGCTTTTAAAAATTAGAAGAAGAATAAGTTAAATCGAGATTAAAGTTAATCTATATTGAAATGGACATTAGGTAATACAGATGTAATCTTGAAAGGGGGGGGGGGGAGTTTCAAGATAACTGTTATTCCTATCGGTCAGAATTACGGTTGCCAGATCCTATTGTACAGCTGGAACCTGAAGGTTCGTGCGCTGGAGATTTCATATTTCAACTGCAGACCGGCCGATTGTTTCATTGAAAAAAAAAGAGAAAAAAAGGCGCAAGGTTAATTCGTGTTTTGCTGTTACAGACTTTCTTTTTGTTATTAATATTTGACCAACATAAAGTGTCAACACAATCATAGAGACATTATTATTATTAGAGGAAAGGTTCCTATTATGAGATATCGAGTTCATTTTGGATAAATGCTAGAAGAATATAGGCAAAATTAAAAAAAATAATAGGTCATTTTAAAGGGAATTAAATAAGCTTTAAGACAACGTTATATAAAATTTAATTTAAATTCCATTTTTATTTAATTAAAGAAAAGTAAAAAGTGAGCAAATCGCAAAATTAAAAAATTGTGTTCCTAATATGAGATGCCCCGAGAAATCGATAGTAAAACGCGAAGTATATCAGTGTATTGCAATTAAAAAACTTTATTTAATGTTTCTAAAATACAAAAAAACACAGCCAATGCAAGAAAAAATGAGCATACGATAGATTATACTCAGAACTCGTCTTCAGGTAGTTGGAATCAAGCATCGCAGAAATAGGCACTCGACGTTTATTCCGGTCTGTTTTATTATTGTACAATAATATTTACACTTTAACAATAATTTTCACTATAACAGGGAGCATGGGTTATTTCATATTAGAAATACCTTGGGTATCTCATATTACGATTTCTATCCTTTGTGGTTTTACAATCATCAAATCTAACTTCTATAATTAAACAATTCAACATGTCCCGTATTTTTCTATTAGTACGACCTTACTCTATCACTACATGAAGAATTTATTGCCAAATATTTATTTATTAAATAATAAACAAGGTTTAAAGGCTCATCTCAAGGAAACTTGAAGAATCCAAATTATAAAATCTTGTTTTACAATGACTATAGGCATGATCTAATAATGAATTTTCTACTAAATAGTTTTCAATCCAAGAGCAATAAATTCATGGTGAAACCAATAGGTAACGTTTATTAGTTTAACAGAAACATCACTGTCTCATATTAGGCGTCTATCTCATAATAGGGGGCTTTCCTCTACAAGATTACATACAGCAAACACAAATACAAACTTGTTTATTATTCGTAAAATAACATAAACTGCGAACATAATCACAGACTTTCTTATTACTTTCCACGTAATTTAAATATGCAATTAATAAATACTCCACGCGAAAAAAAACTGGAGATTTTTCCCGTCTACTGGAGAACTGGAGATTGGTCCCAAAAACTGGAGTCTCCAGTCGAAATCTGGAGGCCTGGCAATCGTGGTAAGAAAGCGTCGCGTCGCTTCCTATTATTGTACGCATCTAGAAAAAAATATGCAAGTGATGTCGTTTCTCAATTATCATAGGTCGCTCGTCATCGTCGACGCTTCGGCGTCGCTTTTTCCATCATCCCGCTCGTTTCGACGCCACCATTGCCTCCGCATCTCTCCGCAGCTGCGGCCCACGAAGTGTTATCGCAAAGTGGTACCGGGGAACACACCCAGCCGTATCTCCCGTGTTTTGAAACGCTCGCATGGCTTACAAAAGGCTGTCGCCGTGGAAAATCGGTACGGAAAATGTCACAGCCTTGTCACCCCGATGCAGCGCAAAATAGTATATCGACCTTACGGCCTGCACGCGAAGATGACATATTTAACGACAGCAGATTGACGAAATTCAACGATCGGATTTCATGCTCGATACCTCGCTACCGATGCAGCATCGGATGCGGAAATGGCATCGGCAGCGCGAAACGATGAACGGAGGCGAATGCCTGCGATGGAAGTTTAGATTATTTTTTAAGTGGGCGTAATACGCGGATACGAGGCAGCATCTGCGGTGCAATTTACACGCGTGCAACGGCGTTAGCGAAGCATATCGCTGGAAAGGCCAGCTGGCTCTTCCCCCCAAGTTCCGGATCGGTATTAAGCGTCATTTTTCAAATGTTGTATATAATA